TGTTTCTATCTCAGTAGACTCATGAGTTGAAGAACCTTTTTTATTTTTTGTTAAAATTTTGCCATGAAAGATTTAGTCTCATCCTTTTCTGTTTTTATCTTGCATAATGTATTCTGACCACAAGCGTTAAAATGTAGCTCTTTCTGAAGAATTGCAGCAGAGTTTGGTGTAATTTTAGAAAGTTTACAGATGTGCCACTGGGATTTGCAGAGGTTTTGTGCTCAATAATTTAAATATTGCTATTTCTGAAGATTTTATAGAACTTAAACTAGAAGCCCCTGGGATCATGTGATCTCACCTGCTTATGAATCATAAGCCAGTAACTTATGTGTGGTTACTCTTAAATTGAGCCTAAATACTCATGCTGGACTAAAGCCTAAAGATGTTTGGCTGAAGCAATCTTCTAGAAAGGGAAAAATATCAAAATAAAATCATGGAATGGTTTGGGTTGGAAGGGACCTCAAAGACCATCTAGTTCCAACCCCCCTGCCATGGCCAGGGACACCCTCCACTAGACCAGGTTGCCCAAAGCCCCATCCAACCTGGCCTTGAACACTTCCAGGGATGGGGCATCCACAGCTTCTCTGGGCAACCTGTTCCAGTACCTCACCACCCTCACAGTGAAGAATTTTTTCCTAACATCTAGTCTAAATCTACCCTCTTTTAGTTTAAAGCCGTTATCCCTTGTCCTGTCACTCCATGCCCTTGTAAACAGTCCTTCTTCAGCTTTCACTTTTTCATTTGAAGGCATTTTCTGCAGTCCTTCAGTCATTCTTGTAGCTCTCTTCTATGCTCATGTGAACTTTATTCTTATCCTTTTAAAAAAGTGCAAACTAAGGCTGTATTCAGTATTTTTGATCTCAGTAATGCTTTTTAAGATCTTGTTTTGAGATTTAAAACCTTGCCTGGGCTTTAGCCCAATTCTGAAACTGCACTGTTTTATAGTTCACTTCTTTTTATGGCCACATTCGAATGCAGCTACTGTGGCTTTAGGAACTGTGTTTCTCACAGTGTATGGGGTGTATCTCATTGCGTCTTCTAGTGGTTGTCTTAAAGTTCAGCACAGTTATGTACCGAATTGTTACATGCAAAATCTACTTCTTTTTATTGGAGAGAGAGTGAATTTATTTTGATGTGATAAATCAGAATGCCCATTATAATAACTGTTATTTTGGCGTGCTACTAAGCAAGGAAGGTAATGCAGTCCTAAGTATATTTGCATGTATTTGTGACTCTGGTGTTGCCCAAATTCTCCAAAATTGTATGAATTCTGTTAGGCACACGATCTGTTAGCTGAAGTGTACCTGAGGCTGACTTTGCTTTGGCTAACCAAAAATTAGGTTTGATTTAAATATACATTTATATAGATATAGATACATGCATGTGCATGTATACATGTATTTATAGACACCTTTGGTTCCTAATCCTGAGAAGACAAAACCACTGAAACTGGGGCATCACACTGTTCAGGTGTTTACAGAATGGGAGTTATATTTTACATAACAGTCCTTTAGAAACAAAAGAAAAGAAAATCTGATCTTTGAACTATGAAAAGATATAGGCAAATATTCCACATCTGTTTAACTGGGAAGAACATCTACAGTGAAAGCTTTTTGATTTGGGCTGTTTATGAGACAGTGACTTTTTCTTAAAAGCTGATTTTGGAGTGCAGAGTAACCGTTGGAAGTACCACCCACTTTAAATCTTTCCTTTGTAAGGCTGTGATGAGTCACAGAGCATTGGAGAAAATTTTTGTGCAAATTTCAATAATTGAAATTCTGGCTCTCATTTTCCTGTCTTTTGAATAGTAGAGTATAGCTTGTGTGAGTTGAAATCTCTCTTTTTTCTTTGACTATTCTATTACAAAATGGAGAAACCTTTCATATTGTGGCTGTTTTTCATGATACTTTTCAAATACTAGAAAGAACTACTGATAACACTAAAGCAGTATGAATATATTATTTTCTTTAGGATGGAAGTAACCTTTTGATGGATAATGCCTTTTGGTGATGAGTTACTTGCTTCAGATATGTGTCTATCATTTGATCTCTTTCTTCTGTAACTTGGTTTCTAATGACAGATTTGTAAGAATTCGAAAAGGCATTTGTTTTCAAGTTGTACAATAAATTAAGACATCTAAGATCAACCAGAGACTGCAATCTTCCTCGTGTGTTGTGAAACTTCATCCATTCTAATACTGCTGTATGCCAGCAGTGGTGGCATGGAGTGGTGTCCCACAGGTGGCCTGGGGGATGCTCCAGTTTGCCTAATGCTTTTCCCTGGAGGAGCTGGGAGTGATCGAGTTGCAGGTACTCACCAGTTAGCACTTTCTGCTGCCTGCAAGCCCACGAGACCTACGCTGTT